AACTTACACTCAAGGCTTTCACACAGCACGCCATGGTGGTGGGCGCTAGTGCCCCGATAAATATGATCCAAACACAGGCATTCTTTATATTTAAATAACTCAGTTTTAGGAAACAAGAAAGTAGGTCTAAGTTGAAATATCCAGTCACTAAATATTCTAATAGAATAGCGAGTGTTTACTGTTTATATTTATTATTATATCGTTCATTACTGAGTGTCGCAGACTAATACTTTTATGAGCTTTAAAAATAAAATAAAATAAGTATTTATATTTGTGCAGCGAGCTGAAGAGCCGCATCTTGACATCAAAGGAGCCGCATGCGGCTCGCGAGCCGCAGGTTGCCGACCCCTGCTATAGGACTATCCGAGGGGTCGGCAACATTTGGAAGCGGAAGAGCAAAAAGTTACAATTTTCAAAATGTCCCTGGTTTTAAAGAGCCGCTAACATTTTTTATTTCAAATATTTTATTTTTTTATTAAGATTATTAGTATTTGTTCAATGAGCTGGAGAGCCGCATCTTGATATCAAAAGAGCCGTATGCAGCTCGCGAGCCGCAGGTTGCCGACCCCCGGACTATCCCAATCCACTTTAGAAGCCAATAACTTTTGTTTCTTTCTTTACGGACACCACTGGTTCAGTAGGTATCTTCAAGCAAATAAATAGATTTTTTTTTTATTTATTTATTTTTTTTTTTTTAGTTGTCTAAAGATTTATTTAGTTTTTCAAATAAATACAGTGCACTTCAGTTTTGAAATTTCAAAATAATTTACATTTCTGTACACTGACACCAGGTATAGAATAAAAAAAAACAACCTAAGCCCTTTTATTTGACTTTGTAATAAGCAACTGAATGCTCACATTGACAATTTTTAACTAACATGAGTATTTGCCTCCACTACTCCTAAAATTATCATCATTTAACATCCATTCCAAAAAGAAAATTTTTAAGTTTACTAAAGAAATTAAAAAATTCAGTTGGATTTCTATTGTAAAATTGCCTTTTAAACATTTAGTATAAATTAGGTAAGAACAATTTATTTGTAATCAAAGCCTGGAAATTATTTGAATGAAGTATCAGTTTTTCTTCCAGGTATATCTTACATTATAAATCTTTTTTAAAAATCTGATAGGCTTTAACTCAACATTTCTTTCTCGTTCCGCAAAGACTATGTTATCAAAATTATTGGATGTTTAACTTAAATAAAGCAACTTTTAAAATGATAATGAAAAAATATGAAACCTTCAATTCTTCACCGTTTTACTTAACTATTTTACATCCTTTAATATCTATTTGACTGAGTTCTATAAAGAAAGGACAATGTAAAACTGACAATTTTTTCTGTAGTTTTTTAATAGTCTTCGCCTCTTGATACCACCTCCTTGCAGGTGGGTCTCAAAATGATAGTGTGCTCAAACTGAGCGGTATATGAGCCTTTTTGATCACAGAGAGGAGGGTAAGGATCCACAATTCCAGCATCACACAAGTTTTTCTGGGCCAATAAGTATTTGCTTTGGCCCAGCCTATCCAGCCAGCGACGACAGAAAGCCAGGGTCCCAAAGTTCTGGTTGATGACATTCAACAACTGTTTGGACTTGGCAAGCCTGAGCGGAACATGACCAACTTCAAAGTTTTTCATGTAATGAGAGACTTCCATATCATCATGTACATGGTTTTTGCCAGTACTGCCAAAGGTTTCAATAGCATAGACTTCGCCTTCCTCCATCCTGGTTGCTTCACCCCCTTTGACGATTGGCACAGTTTTTCCACCATGTATTCTGTACTGACCAATAGAGTGACCATTCAAGTTTCTAATATATTGGCTTAACTTGATAAGTTTTACCATCAAGCTCCACCTCATATGATTCCATGACTTCCTGTATCTGCTCACCAACATCACACAGCCTCACATCAATACCTGCAGCACGCACACCTGTGTTGGTTGCATCTTTCACGGCCAACAGTAGCTGATCATATTTTGGGTTGAATGTCAAAGTAAAGGCACAATCCACAAGATGACCATTTATGTGGGTTCCAAAGTCAATTTTACAAACATCATCATATCCAAGGACAGTTGTATCACCAGCATTAGGTGTGTAGTGGGCAGCACAATGGTTAAGGGAGCAGCCAGTGGGAAAAGCTAGACCAGCTTCAATCCATTCTCTTTGATTAACTTTCTAGCTCTTCACAAATATCAAACATGGTCATTCCTGGTTTAATAATTGACTTCATATATTTTCGGGTCTGTCTGTGCTAATCTCATATCTTCATACAAATGGCTGTGAGATTTATCCAACATCTTTTTCTCTTCATCTGTCATTCTGTTTTTAGCAGTACGATTATCCTGCTCTGTTGGTATTCCATGATCTCCCCAACAGGATAGTTTCCTGGGCTAAGGGGCTCTACTATTGGTATTGATGGAGGCACAGTCTGTTGTTTGTTTGCTCCTCCCCCTACATTGGCCTTCTTCTTTTTATTTCTTTTTTTCTTTTTCTTTCCATCTCCATTATCTGCATCTTCCTCCTGCTTTTCTTCTGTATCAATTTTGACTGAATTTAGATCCTTGACAATAAGTTCAATTTGAGCTGCAGAACCGTTCTCTTCCGAATTTTCATTATTTCCATTACAAACATTGTTTTTCTTCTTTTTGCGTTTCTTTTTCTTTTTTGAATCAACAGTTTCTTGCTGATCAGCTATCAATTCTAGGGGTTCTCAATTGAAAGGAAATTCTTCGGTTTTTGTCTCTTCGATAGGATCAGTTTTCACGGCGACCATGTTGGTTATAAGCAAAGCTTGAAATAAAAATATCTTAGGAATTTTTAGTGTTAGGAATGGATGCTTGAAGAGTTTTCTCGGAATTAATACTTAAGTTGGTTGATATAAGTAATTTCTAATTATTCGATTAGCAACTAACAATTACTAGGAGTTGTAATTAACATTTAGTTATTAATCACCAAAGGTTTTAAATACTATTTTGTATTTTAATTTTTTAAAATTTATACTAATGTTTATTTACTTGTTTTTGCTTAAAAATATATTATTATTTTTTTCCATTTCTTTTTATCATTTAATTTTATAATTACCTCCCTTGAAAATAACTCAATATTTGTTTTCTCCCTTAACAAAAAAGTTCCATGCGCGAGATATTTTGACTCAAGCAAAAAACGAGGGGCAAACCGCTGTTAACTGTGTAACACCATGGTGCACTCTCGTGACAAACACTAATATTCTATGCCAGCGTTTAGTTCCATGTGGGGTGGGGGGGGGGGAGTGTGTGATGGAATCTAGTGAGGGGGAATTGAATGTTTGGGTGATTTTGGTATAGACTATTTTTGTATCGAGTTTGGGAGATTTTTAGTGTGGGAGAGTTTAGTGTATGGGTATTTAGCGTGGGGGAATTTAGTGTGGGAGAATTGAGTGTGGGAGAATTTAGTGTGGGACATTTTTTGTGGGGGAGTTTAGAGTGGGAGAATTTAGCGCAGGACAATTTTGTGTAGGAGAATTAGGTGTGGGAGAAATGAGTATATTGTGTTGTAGTGTAGAAAAAGGAAGTTATTTGAGTGCTTGTGTGTATATAAATAAATCTACGTGTGATTGGGTTTACTGTGGGTAAGTTGAGTGGGGGTGTTTGGATTAGTGGGGGTGGGGGAGTTGTCCTTCTGGGTGTGGTTTAATCGACCTCCGGATCATGTGACAATGTGACGGATTGCGTCATTTGTATATTTTTTCATTTAAGACTAAATAGTAGGGAAAAAGCATCTATATATATAATTCTCTTCTGGGAGACGTTAGAAAACAAGCTGTAAGCGCGCCGAGCAGTCACCTCTTTTCCTCTCTAGGCATATCGCAACCACCCCCACACCCACATGGTCTGGTGAGCTGTAGTTCACGCTAAATATTTACATAGTAGAGCCGGGTTTAGTGACGGCTATTAGGGGCAGATAATTTAGTTTAAAACTATTTTATACTTAGGGGAAGTAACTAAGTGGAGGCTGCTTTCACGTGGGTGGGGGTGGGGGGGTAGGGGTTGGGGAAAGGAGGGTTTAAGTGTTTTAAAGCAAATATTTTCAGTGGCAGCATTAGTACTGTCGAAATCACAAATTATGAATTACTGAAAAGTAGAAAATATAACAACTAAATAGCCCCCCCCCATATAAATATATAGGCATATATATGTGTGTATGTATGTATATATATAAATATATATATATATATATATATAAATATATATATATATATATATATATATATATATATATATATATATATATATATATATATATATATATGTATATATATATGTATATATGTATATATATATGTATATATATATGTATATATGTATATATATATGTATATATATATATATATGTATGTATATATATATATATATATATATATATATATATATATATATGTATATATATATATATATATATATATATATATATATATATATATATGTATATATATATATATATATGTATGTATATATATATATATGTATGTATATATATATATATATATGTATATATATATATATATATATATATATATATATATATGTGTATATATATATATATATATATATATATATATATATATATATATATATATATATATATATATATATATATATATATATATATATATATATATATATATATATATATATATATACATACTCAAACACAAAATACGAACATAGGATACTTATTGCTGGCCTGTTCGTGTTTTGAGAAATACGTGGGTTTTTTTTTATAATTAAAACAAATTACAACATCATGTCATGTGTGTAAGTGCATTCGCCTGTTTCGTAAAATTTAGTTTTATTTTATCTCTGCTATATGATCCGTATAGACTACTGGCGGTCGAAAGAATTTAAAACATGAAAGCTTTGTATAAGTAATGGTGTCTCGTGTTATGTTTATTTTTATGGTTTTTTTTTTTAATTTATATTATTAATTTTAAATACATTTCATTTTTAAACAATGTCATTCTTTCACAGTGGTTTAAAAACAAAGGGAAAAAGAAAATACAAGAGCGTGAGGGGGTGTCTATAGAATAAAGATAATCCAACCGCAGTTACAGTGATTTTTTTACAAAACAACCATCAAGTCGAAAATGCAAGAAAATTAATTTCTTTTTAATTATATTTTTTTTTATTATTGACGGCTTTGGGCCCCTAAATGGCGTGCCCCCCCCCCCTCCGTACTGCGGGGTCTGGCGGCACTGTAGTTCCGCCCCTGCCTAGTTGGTATCTTACTCAACCGAAATCTTTTTTTTTCTGTTTCTAGATCTGTTGGTTTATTTTGTGGCAACGAATGCCTATGCTTGATTTGTCATAGATGGGCTATGCATTAGGGGCAAATATTAAAGTGGCCTTTTCATACAATTGGCCAAGGTTGACCTTACAATAAACGTCACCGAGATTGCCCTTCCATACAAATGACCAATGTTGGGTTTTCCATAAAAGTGGCCCAGGTGGCTTAAGTTGGCCTCTATTCACGTAACATCGCCTCTCGTTGAAATCACGAACACGGCAAAAGACAATACAAAGTGGTACAAAGGCAGTGATCAAATACCTAGTACGATAGTTATGCTGTTATCATAATAACTGCCTCAAGTTTGAACCAGTAAAATTATTTTGGAAATTTTAAATGACAACAATTTGATAACAATATAAAAATTAAATCAACTTTTTCGTGTTATAAAAAATGTATAAAAATTTTACAAAACTCTTATGACAAGATCACAGAGCTCAAAATTCCTAAAAAAGTAATTTTATATATTTTTTAAAAAATACCACAGAAAATCTTTTAAATAATATATTATATTAAAAATTTCTGTAAGCTATGTACATGCTATATATACATATTGAACTAAAACGAATGTAATTTATCTAATCATATACAAGTTACAAATATAAATAACATTATAGAATAAATAGGTTTTCAAAAATCGAACTTTGTTTGTAAACAATGTCACGTGGTCATACTAAAGTCGCGTGCTGGACTCTCCGTTAGCTTGTCTGTCTGACGTAGCACCAGTGTCTGTCTTCTCGGTAGAGTCTGTCTGGAACCGCTTGCAGAAGAAGACTTTCTGCATGGCGCGATCATAGGGTTCTAAAGACCGTAGCGGCTGGGGTAGGAACATCCAGTCTTGGAGCTTTCTGGGCAGGCTCTGGGGACGTTTAGCCTGCAGGCATTTGATGACGCCGATGATGATGAAAAGAAGGCAGACGGGCCCGAGGACGCCGAGGAGGACGTACCAGCCCGGGATGGAGAGAGCGAAGACTAGGGCGGGGAAGAGGAAGAACATGAGGAGGATGTAGACGATGGCGAACCAGCGGTACTCGGCCGTGCAGTTGCCTAGAAATTTGGCAAGCGGGATGGGGAAGCGGAGGTAGGGGATGGGGTAGAACAGGAGGATGCCGGTGATGTTGAAGAAGAGGTGGCAGAAGGCTGCTTGTAACGCGTTTCTGAGGCCGTCCGTGTTGGCTAAGGCTGAGAGAATCGCCGTGGTCGTGGTGCCGATGTTTGACCCCAAGGTCAAAGGGTACATCCGGTCGAGTTCGATGACCCCGATGCCGACGAGCGGGGTGAGGGTGGAGGTGAAGATGGAGGAGCTCTGGACGATGATGGTCAACCCGGCGCCGATGATGATGGCGAGGTATCCGGTGAGGTAGCCCAGCGGTCCGGGAAAGTCCGCGTTGATGAATTTTTTGATGATGAGAGCGATGGGGCCTTGGAGAAGGGAGTGAAGCAGTTTGACTATGGCGACCAGACACAGGCAGAGAATTGTAAGGGAGATAACCAGCATGATTGCTCCAATGGCTTTGTCGTTTAATGTGGAGTACATTCCCTTAAATAAAAACTCACCTAAGGGTTAAAATAAAATAAATCATAAATTACAAACAACAGAATTGCATTAAAGTATTTAATTATAGTTAACTGTGTCAAAAATATTTTAATTATATATTTTATATTCATATAAAGAAAACCGGGATTTTCGTAAAATTTAGAAAATTAGAAATATTTTAAAAACGTTAATTTCTGCTTAAAGCTTTGCTTCTACTACCTAACCACAGAGCTAAAGCTATTTTTACTTTCTCGTATATGCGATGTATAGAGAAAGTACTGTAATCGTGCAAAAGAGATCGTTTTACACCTCACTGATACGGAAAAACATAATTTTGCAATCTTGTCCGTATGTCTGTGTGTGTCTGTGTGTAAACACGATTACTTGAGCTCAGCTAGGTTGATGAAATTTCATATACAAGTATTTTATCAATATCGTAGATCCGTATCAACTTTTGCGCGATTTCCGATAACCGGAAGTGGTACTTTTTCTACTTTGAATGTTTTAAAAGCCTCTAACTTGAGTACTATTTCAGATAGATAAAAGAAATGTCACACGTAAGCAAAATATCTAATTCTCTACCTACTGTCAAATTTTGAGTAATTTCCGTGGTACGGAAGTACTAATTTACGCTATTTCCGATTTCTCAAAAAACGCATGTAAATTTATAAAGTACTAATAATATTGCGCACTATTATGCATATTTTGCTTTGGCGTTCGCTTGGAGCGCAATTCTTTTTTCTATGAGGTTCTATTCTATTTTTAAAAGTTTAAGTAATTAAAAATCATGTCTATATTCAAAGTTATAGGCTTTTTAAAAATTCAAAGTAGGAAAAGTACCACTCAAGTAATCGTGTTTACAGACAGACAGACAGACAGACAGACAGACAGACAGACAGACAGACAGACAGACAGACAGACAGACAGACAGACAGACAGACAGACAGACAGACAGACAGACAGACAGACAGACAGACAGACAGACAGACAGACAGACAGACAGACAGACAGACAGACAGACAGACAGACAGACAGACAGACAGACAGACAGACAGACAGACAGACAGACAGACAGACAGACAGACAGACAGACAGACAGACAGACAGACAGACAGACAGACAGACAGACAGACAGACAGACAGACAGACAGACAGACAGACAGACAGACAGACAGACAGACAGACAGACAGACAGACAGACAGACAGACACACACACACACACACACACACACACACACACACACACACACACACACAGACACACAGACATACGGACAAGATTGCAAAATTATGTTTTTCCGTATCAGTGAGGTGTAAAACGTCGAGATTTGTAATAATCATGATTTTTTTTTGCACGATTACAATACTTTCTTTATACTTCGTATATACGAGAAAGTAAAAAAAATTACTGCGTGGCTGATTTAAAAAAAAAATGCGTAGTCCCGTAACGTGCATCATAAAGACACCATAGCAGTCGGGCCTTGCTCCCAGTACTCACATTCCTTGAAGCACGTCATCTTCTCCACGTCCCTCGTGTACAGCGTGCACGAGAAGTCCTCACCCACAAGCTCGTCCATGACGCTGACGTTGCTCACGGCGCAGCTGGAGAGGGAGAAGTTGTGGGAGCTGGAGCTGAAACAGCTGCTGACGCCGGAGCAGTCCAGGGCCTGGTTGTGGTCTGGTGGATATGGTGGAGTGGATAGGTGGATATAGATACGTGGATACGGACTTGCAATATGATGGAGTGGATAGGTCTAGGAATATATAGGCGGGTGGGTGGTTATGGATAAGTGCATATGGATGTGTGGATAGGTCTGAGATGCTATGGATATGGATGTGCGGATAGGTCTGAGATGATACGGGTGGGTGGATATGGAGGAGTGGATAGGTGGATGTAGCTACGTGGATATGGACTGGCAATATGATGGAGTGGATAGCTCTGGGTATGGATGACTGGATAGATGGATGTAGAGACGTAAATATGGAAAGTAAATATAGAAGAGTGAATGGGTTGGTGAATAAATGGGTGGGTGGGTATGGATGTGTGGATAGGTGGATATAGAGATGTGGATATGGACAGTCAATATAGATGAGTGGATAGGCCTCAGATGTTATGAGTTTGTGGGTATGGATAAATAGATGGAAATAAATGAATATGGACCTTGACGAGGATGGTAACCTACCCTTAACCTAACTCAGATAACCTTGACCCCGAGGCTTACTTGTATTTAACCTACCTCAGACGGCCTTGACCATGAGGAATACCCACCCTACATCAGACGACCTTGACCCCGAGGCTTACCTATCTTTAACCTACCTCAGACGGCCTTGACCATGAGGAATACCCATCCTACATCAGACGACCTTGACCCCTAGACTTACTCAACCTACCTCAGATGACCTTGACTCAGATACGTATCCACCCTACATCAGACAACCTTGAACCCGAGGCTTACTTATCTTTAACATATATCAGACGACCTTGACCCCTAGGCTTACCTATCCTCGCCCTACAACAGTCGACCTCTGACCTCGTGCCCTGGAAAGCGTCACAGTCGACCTGTGTGACGAACCTCTGGATGCTCCAAGTCTTGTTACTCCAGGGCGTGCTCGTGCAGTCTTGGTGCCATGTCTGGTTCCGGCCCACGCATGCGCTAAGCTGCGGACGGAAGTGTAAACTTTGGTCATGTGAGCTGTTTACAATATATGTACCTCACGGTTCATGGGGCAAGAGAAGTAGAGTTCACCAGTTTCTGTGACCTCGGCATACGAAAGTATAGTGTGGTCAGCACCTGGCCGATTTATTTCCCTAAAGTGAGTTGGGTATTACACCTGAACTGGGTGGGTTCCAAGAATTTCTATTTTCTTGAACACGGATTCGAACAAAGGCGGCTGGACATAGTGTTAAAGCAGATGAAATCTACTTCATCTCTCCCATGCGTTTGGGCACGAACAGTAAAAGACGAAGATGATGTTGATGTTGTTGTTGATGATGATGATGATGATGATGATGATGTTGATGATGATGCTGATGTTTATTATGATGATGATGATGAAAATGATGATGATGATGATGATGATGATGATGATGATGACAATGACGATGATGAATAACCTCCTGCTGATCGTACCTCCTGACAGAAACCAGTCTTCTGCGCATGCGTGTAGTTGGCCGCAGTCTTGAAGACCTTCGACTTTTTGGTCTCACAGCACTGTGCAGGTGTCTTCTTGTCGCAGCACACCTTCATGATGGCGCGGTCGTAGTCGAAGTCGGGATCCGTGCCGTCTGCAATCTTGTTGATGGCGTTCTTGTCGATCTGAGAGTGGGGTGGAACATATTGGCACTGTTAGATTACGTAACTTAGAACACAATAGTAGACGGCACAAGGTTTACGTAAACACATAAAGGCCAACACGTCCCCGTAGCGCAGGGGATAGCGCGCTGGACTTCTAATCCAGAGGTCGCGGGTTCGAATCCCGCCGGGGATGATTTTTTTTTTATGTTGTGTAGGGGACGAGTTAGTTTGCCTCCACACGTTTAAAGGTTAATGGAGGAGGAGGGGGATCTACAGTTGTTATTTGACCCATGAAGAGCCATCTTTATTTATCTCACGTAATAAAAACCGACTTTTCTTTAAGTTGTCTCCCACAAAAATTATTTTTCATTAAAATTGTTTCCCTTATAATTAACTAAATTCAAAAAACCAATTCTAAAATGGTGGCCATAAAAATAGTCACTCCTAAAAAGGTGTACATTAAAATTATTTCAACTAATATTTCCTTCTTATAATAAAAGAAAATTTATTCAGGATAATGAGTCAAGCATTGCTACTGTTATTGTAAGGGCAGGGTGAGGGCGCTTCTTCAATGCATCGACAGTGATTTACAGTACATTTATAACATATCCTCAGTGCATTTAACTCTAAAGTGCATCTTTAGTGCATCAACAGTGCACCAACCTGGATAATCAGCTTGGTGAAGGGCTCTGTTATGACCTTGAGAATGTCCTTGTCAGCACCTTTGTCTGCGACCAGGGGCAGCGAGTCCACGATGGCATTGGTCAGGTGATACAGGTAACCTGTGGGTCAGTTTTAGAATTTGGTCTCACGTGTCATTGCAGAAAAAATTAATTAAAATAAATTCTATATAATAGTTTCGCTGTCTGTCTATGTAAGTATCTATCTATCTATCTATGTATCTGACAAGAACGCTCTAGAGAAAACACAAGCAAAATAAAAACATGCACAGTAAGACGGAAACGAAATATGACGTCACATTCAGCATATAGTAGAAAATAATCTCAAGCCGGAGAGTGCACATTGTAATATGACGTCATTGATTCTCGAGTAAACATTGAATTAAAAAGCCAATTTTGTCTAATCTTTAAAGTGGTTTTGCCTGAATAGTTTCTTTGATACAATTCTTTGGGTAGGGGCGAAGCCATCCCCCACGTAAGAACGTCTAAGCCGACCCCCCCCCCCCCCCCAACTCAAAAGAAATGTCGTCATCGATACTCTATAATAAAATTACAGCCTGATTCATGTGTTTAATCTAAAAAGTAGTTTGCGTGCAGAGTTCCTTCATGCAATTCTTCGGGTAATGGCTAAGCGCGAGACCAGTGTTTCTTTCAGACTTTTTCCTCCCCGGAGGGGGGAACTTTTTCTTATCTAAAAAGTGTTTAGCGTGCAGTTTTTTTCATGCATCTCTTCCGGGTGGGGCGAAGCCCCGCCCAGGTTCTTCCTTTAGTTTGTATGATCTACAAATGCGACCAGTGTTTCTTTCATACTTTTTCCTCCCCGGAGAGGGGTGGGGGTACTTGAAATTTTCGGGGGCGGGGGTAGAATTTTCTGGGAGGGGGCGGACACTGGAAAAAGTATATAATTATATTTCGTTGAATGGGACGGTAGACATGTTTTGGGGTGTGTGTGGGGGGGGGGGGGATTGGTTTTAGTTTAGAGAAAATAGACAGCACTATCAACCTAGCGCCCGTTGTATCCTTCCTCAACGGGCCATTTTTCTCGTAATGGAAATATTATCAGGAAACAGTTTCTTTGTTTTTTTGTTTGAAGGAAATAAATGAAATTTGAGAAAGATTAATTAGAGCATAGATAAATGTTTTGTGTTTTTTTTTTTAATAAAAAGAATTGCTTTATAAAAGAAAACCCGGAAATATTGGTTTTAAAATATAACAGGAAAGTAATAAAATTAAGAAAGAATAATTTAAGGAAGTAATTTGTAATATTGTAAAAACTACATCTAAAACAATAAAATAGAGTATATTTAAGGGACAAAATAAAATAAGAAAAAGGAAATAATTTATAATAAAAATAGATAAACAATTCTATGCTGTTTTAATTGTGATTGATGCTATACCTGTTATGACTTCCAATGGTAAAAGAACGATAACTGTTAGCCAGTTGAACATGTCATGGACTGTCGCCCCTGCGAACGCTCGCCGAAACTCGCCCTTGTCCGTGATCTGACCAATGGCGACGATTGTGTTGGTCACCGAGGTGCCGACGTTAGCTCCCATGATGATCGGGATGGCTGTCTGGATGTCCATCACTGCAAGAATAGGTTACTTCCCCTGATTAATGGTGGTGAGAGATGGTAGACATACAGGCCTAATCTTTACGTGTGTTTCTATCCAAAGCTACAAGCGTTAATATTATCTCATGAACTCTAGTCCTTACCTTTAACTGAAGAAACGAAAAAACTATTAACTTTTACTACAACCATTAAGTTTAATCCTTACCTTTAACTTAAGAAACGATTATACTATTAACTTTTAATGTAAACATTAAGGCTGATACATACCTTTAACCTAATTCTTTAGGTTCTACGCCTAAACACTAGCTTAAGCCGCACGCAGATTATTTACTCAAACTTTAACTAGTGCTGAAAATTAGATTACTTACATACAGTACTGAATCCCTACCATTACTTACATACAGTACTGACCCCATATAACTTACATCCACTATTGAACACCCTCCCTTACTCACATCCAGTGACCCCCATTACTTACATAGAGTGCTAATCACCCCCGCCCCACTACTTACAACCACTGACCCCCCCCCCCCACCCCCCACTACTTACATCCCGTGCTGACCCCCCACTACTTACATCCAGTGCTGACCCCCCACTACTTACATCCAGTGCTGACCCCCCACTACTTACATCCAGTACTGACCCCCCCACTACTTACATCCAGTGCTGACCCCCCACTACTTACATCAATTGCTGACCACCCCACTACTTACATCCAGTGTTGACCCCCCCCCCCCACTACTTACATCCAGTACTGCCCCCCCCCACTACTTACATCCAGTGCTGACCCCCAACCCCCACTACTTACATCCATTGCTGACCCCCCCCCCCCCACTACTTACATCCACTAATCCCCCCCCACTACTTACATCCAGTGCTGACCCCCCCACTACTTACATCCACTAATCCCCCCCCCACTACTTACATCCAGTGCTGACCCCCCCACTACTTACATCCACTAATCCCCCCCCCACTACTTACATCCAGTACTGACCCCCCACTGCTTACATCCAGTACTGCCCCCCCCCCCCATTACTTACATCCAGTGCTGACCATACTGACGACGATGCTAGTCGAGGTCGATGAACTCTGCACCAACACAGTGACCAGCACCCCAATCATCAGCCCGGCCACGGGGTTCTTCATGATGTCACTCTGACGGAACACCTTGCCCGCCGCCTCCCCTGTGGGAGTCACGTGATCACGTCAGGTTAGGGTTAGGTGGAAGTGTCTGAGCTCTAGTGTATACGTCATTGGGTATTTTTAGTTTTAAGGTCATAAAATATTAGTTTTAAGGTTATAAGGTATTATTAGTTTTTAAGGTCATAAGGTATTATTAGTTTTTAGTTCATAAAGTATTTTTAGTTTTTATTGTCATAAGTTATTTTTAGTTTTTTAGGTCATAGGGTATTATTAGTTTTTAAGGTCATAATGTATTATTAGTTTTAATATCATAATGTATTATTAGTTTTTAAGGTCATAAGGTATTATTTGTTTTAAGGTCATAAGGTATTTTTTTTGTTTTATTATTAGTTATTAGTAATTTTTTTGTTTACTGTTTTCGAGACAGGGTAGGGGTCGCATGGGGGACGAAGTGGTTAACGGTAGAGTGCTAGACTGCTAAACAGTGTTTTTTTCAGACTTCTTTCTCCGGGGGGGGGGGCACTTGGAATTTTCGGGGGGAGGGGGGGGGGCGCGTGGGGGGCGGTAGACTTTCCTCGAAGAGATGCCTGAAAGAAACTCTGCTGCTAAACCGTAAGTCTCTAGTTATAATCCGGGTTCAAGTCAGTAGACCGTCCCCGAGTCCACCCAACTCTGATGGGTATCTAACTCACGTTAGGGAAAGTAAAGGCGGCTGGGCATAGTGCTGACCACACTATCTCTTCATATGCCGAGGTCACAGAAACAAGTGAACTCTACTACTTGTCCCATAGACCGTCAGGTTTATGAAGAACTTTACTTAAGGGGTCGCATATATATGATGGCGTACTCCAGGGATTGGAAGCGAAGGGAAAACTGGAGGGGGGGGGGGCATTTGCGATGAATGTGACGTGTGGAAGATGAGTGAGGATTTACGTACCATATTGTGAATTTGTTCAATTTATATTTTTTGTAAATACGGCTATTGGGTCATTTGTAATATTTTGTGACCATATGTGACGATGAGTAGATGAGGTGACATTAAGAATCAAGAAAACAAAAATGGTGTCGTCATTGATGGATGGCAAATGATATATACGTAACTAATATTAATCATGTGACTAATCACGTGACCTGTCCTGACCACGTGACCAGCTCTCACCTCCCAGGAGTCTGAAAGCCGAGCTGAGAAAATCCAGCGAGCAGATGAACATGTAGAGACAGCCGATGACCAGCAGAACCTTGATGAACACACTGACGCCTCGCACGGTCTTCTGTCTGCGGCTCAGCTCTGTACAGAACAAAAAATAAACAACAGAGCATGTGAGTCCCCGTAGCGCAGTGGATAGCGCGCTGGACTTCTAATCCAGAGGTCGCGGGTTCGAATCCCGCCGGGGATGAACATTTTTTTTTAAATTCTATGTTATTATTTAAATAACAAAATGCGTCCTATTTTTTTTTTACTTATTGCCTACCATATAAATGTTTTCTTACCCACATGTTCATTAAACATATATAAGAAATTAAAGATAACTTTTGCGTATTGGTACAAAGAGGTTATTGCATGTTTCATCACAGTGGTCTAGATCTACTAAGTGTATTGATGTGCTGTGTAATTACAGCTAAATGTAGGATAACATCCGCTCCACACACACACATACATACACACATAAACCCGGTATAAAAATGACCAACCGTTCCATGGCGTATAATCCTGTTTGATGCTTGTCACCTTCCAAGGATCTTCCTCTTGCGATTCCAGGCCCTTCTCGTAGGAGTAGCTGGAGCCGTTAGCTTTGGTGCCATTGTACAGCACAAAGTCATCCTTGTCGTCCTAAATTCAAACGACACAGTGATTTAACTTCAAACTATTTGGATGTAAAGGGAGACAAAATGACTAGGTTCTACTATATGCGTATATAATGGGAGACAACAATATGAGATTTTACTCAGTGTGGGTATGATGGGAGACAACAATATGAGATTTTACTCAGTGCGGGTATGATGGGAGACAACAATATGAGATTTTACTCAGTGTGGGTATAATGGGAGACAACTATATGACGTTTTACTCAGTGTGGGTAAAATGGGAGACAACAATACAAAATTAGCTCTATGTGTGTAATATTAGAGACAACAATACAAGGTGTTCATCTATGCGTTTGTTTTGAGATACAACACAGACTTACAGAAAAATTCAGTAAGGATAATATTTTTAAGATTTTCATGAATTTGTTACGAATGTTCAAATTTTTCGACAAAACTGGTTTTATAATAATATTATTTCGTATGCTATTGTACCATAAAAAAATATGTTTAGAGTTTAGATTTTCATATCTTTTAATTCGAAAAAGAAAATTCGGCCTAATGTCAACATAGTTGAACAAGGACGTTTGGGAAGGAATTTATAGAAATCTCAGTTAAGCCTTTGAGTTTTTTAGTCAACAAGGACAGATGATCGCTTGTGGTGCAAAGCAGTGGCGTAGGCAGGGGGGAGGAGGGTTTAGGGGGTCATAACCCTCCCCCCATAGACCCCTCGGTATATATATTAAGTATGAGGGGGGGGTACAAATCGAAAGTTTGAGGGGGGGTGCAAATCGAAAGTTTGAGGGTGGGGGTGCAAATCGAAAGTTTGTTACGCCACTGGTGCAAAGTTTTGGAGTGATATTTTTTTTAAAGCTTGATTTTCAAAGACTGTCCTTTCAGTTTGTTGAGAAATAAAACAGCAAATAAAACTATTTAATGCGATAATCCGGTTTATAGTGAGCTATAAGAACACCATGAATAACGTTTTGTATTGATACAGAATTAATGGTTCTCGATTGTTATAGAAGTGTTTTTTGTTATGCTGAAGATCGGGTTAGTCTGTGTGTTTGTTATAGAAGTGTTTTTTGTTATGCTGAAGATCGGGTTAGTCTGTGTGTTTGTTTTTTTTGTCACGAAAGTGTATTTATAGATCTCGTCATTGTGCTCAGGTACAAAGACCCGTATCATATATCAGGTCAGTGTTTTGAAGTACAAAGGCCTATGTCAAAGATCACGTCATTGTGTTAAGTTGCGTAGGCCTGTGTTATAGATCATTTCCAGAGTTTCTTCCAGGCATCTCTTCGGGGGGCGAAGCCCCCCCCCCCCGAAAAAAAATTTTTACCGCCCCCCCCCCCCCCCCCGAAAATTTCAAGTGCCCCCCCCCCCCCCGAAGAAAAAAGTCTGGAAGAAACACTGATCATGTCAGTATGTTATTAATCACGTCAGTGTGCTATATAGATCACGTCAATGTGCGATAGAGGTCACGTCAGTGTGCAATATATCACGTCAGTGTACTATAAAGATCACGTCAGTGTGCTATATAGATCACGTCAATGTGCGACAGAGGTCACGTCAGTGTGCTATATATCAAGTCAGTGTGCTATAAAGATCGCGTCACTGTGCTGTAGATCACGTCAGTGTGCTATAGAGATCACGTCAGTGGTATAGATCACGTCAGTGTGCTATAGAGATAACGTCAGTGTGTTATAGATCACGTCAGTGTGGTATAGAGATCACGTCAGTGTTATAGATCACGTCAGTGTGGTATAGAGATAACGTCAGTGTGCTATAGATCACGTCAGTGTGTTTAGAGATCACGTAAGTTTTATAGATCACGGCAGTGTGCCATAGATCACGTCAGTGTGCTATAGATCAAGTCAGTGTGCTATAGATCAGGTCAGTGTGCTATAGATCACGTCAGTGTGGTATAGAGATCACGTCAGTGTTATAGATCACGTCAGTGTGCTATAGAGATCACGTCAGTGTTATAGATCACGTCAGTGTGCTATAGAAATCACGTCAGTGTGGTATAGAGATCACGTCAGTGTTATAGATCACGTGAGTGTGGTATAGCGATCACGTCAGTGTGCTATAGAACACGTCAGTGTGGTATAGAGATCACGTCAGTGTGCTATAGATCACTTCAGTGTGTTATAGATCACGTCAGTGTGCTATAGAGATCACGTCAGTGTGGTATAGAGATCACGTCAGTGTGTTATAGAGATCACGTCAGTGCTATAGATCACGTCAGTGTGCTATAGATCACGTCAGTGTGGTATAGAGATCACTTCAGTGTTATAGATCACGTCAGTGTGCTATAGATAACGTCAGTGTGCTATAGATCACGTCAGTGTGGTATAGAGATCACTTCAGTGTTATAGATCACGTCAGTGTGTTATAGAGATCACGTCAGTGTTATAGATCACGTTAGTGTGCTATAGAGATCACGTCAGTGTGCTATAGATCATGTCAGTGTGCTATAGATCACGTCAGTGTGGTATATAGATCACTTCAGTGTTATAGATCACGTCAGTGTTGTATAGAGATCACGTCAGTGGTATAGATCACGTCAGTGTGTTATAGAGATCACGTCACTGCTATATATCACGTCAGTGTGCTATAGATCACGTCAGTGTGGTATAGAGATCACTTCAGTGTTATAGATCACGTCAGTGTGCTATAGATCACGTCAGTGTGCTATAGATCACGTCAGTGTGGTATAGAGATCACTTCAGTGTTATAGATCACGTCAGTGTGTTATAGAGATCACGTCAGTGCTATAGATCACGTCAGTGTGCTATAGATCACGTCAGTGTGGTATAGAAATCACGTCAGTGTTATAGATCACGTCAGTGTGCTATAGAGATCACGTCAGTGTGCTATAGATCACGTCAGTGTGGTATAGAGATCACTTCAGTGTTATAGATCACGTCAGTGTGCTATAGATCACGTCAGTGTGGTATAGAGATCACGTCAGTGTTATAGATCACGTCAGTGAATGATAAATCACGTCAGTGTGTTATAGATCACGTCAATGTGTTATAGATCACGTCAATATGCTATAGATCACGTCAGTGTGCTGTAGATCACGTCAGTGTGCTATATAGAGATCACGTCAGTGTGCTGTAGATCACGTCAGTGTGTTATAGATCACGTCAGTGTGCTATAGAGATCACGTAAGTGTGCTATAGAGATCACTTCAGTGTGCTATGTTACACAGGCCTGTGTTCAGCTTTAACCAACCAACCCCCCCCCCCCAGTTCGACATCTGTCAATGCCGTACCGTGTGACAGACAGTGTCACATTACTGTCAGTCTGTCACAGTGACAAGCACCGCAAACCGGAAGTAAACTAACGCTGAAGAAATTTTCACATGGCTATAAATAGATCGGTCGCTGATCTACGAGAAATTAAAATAAAAAAACCCGGGCAAAGGGAGACAAGAGTAATGTCAACAAAGGGGAGAGAACTTAACATTCAATAACAACAAAAAAGGAAAATAAGTAATTCTTGTTTTTATGAGTTGTTTATTTAATTAACTTTACATTCAGATTTCTTAGGTTTGGGCTAGAGCTTGAGTTAGATTTGACAAAACAATTTGTATACAATGGTAAAAATAAAATTTGAGATTTACTGTGATAACAAGATATGAAAACTATTACACACAAAATAAACGCGCTGTCTGCTCAAATGTTAAATTTAAATTAACCAAGCAGAAGTAAATGCCAACGTATAGCGAGATACCCTGGCAGAAATAAGACTTAGGACCGACGTAAAAAAACTAAATACCGACGAAGAGCGAGTTATCCCAGGAGAACTAAGATCAGGACCAACGTAATATGAGTCTTCTTACAGAACTACGACTTATAATTGACGTAAATCGAGTCATTCTTGCATAAGACAGGACTGACGTAAAAACAAGTCATCGTACAGAAGTACGACTTAGGACCGACGTAATACGAGCCATCCCTGCAGAAGATAGAATTGCGACCGACGTAAAACGAATCACGACGTAAAACCAGTCATCCTAGCAGGAGCAAGACTAAATACCGATGTATAGAGAATTATCCTAGCAGAAGTAAGACTAGGGAACGACGTAAAATGAGTCATTCTTGAAAAAGTAAGACTAAGGCAGACGTAAAACTACTAAATACCGACGTATAGCGAGTTATCCTAGCAAAAATAAGACTAAGGACCGACGTAAAATGAGTCACAACAAAAAACCAGTCATCCTAGCAGGAGCAAGACTAAATACCGACGTATAGCGAGTTATCATTACAGAAGTAGGACCGACGTAAAACGAATCCTCATTTCAGAATTAAAACTTAGGACCAACGTATATCGAATCATCCTTGCAGAAGTTATACTTAAGAACGACGTATAACGAGTCACTCTACAACCAGGTCCTGTCCGTCTCCTTGACACGCCACATCAATGAACGAAACGGTGTCGTTAACCTTTTGTTTTCGTCACGTTGTCATTAATCAGGGATGGGGATCAAGGGGTCAGGGGTCAGGCGAGGGTCATGTTTACCTCCCCCTTGTGCAGGGTTAAAGCACACACGTACGTCACGACCTGCAGATGATTGGGTGGGACGTGACCTTGACCGAGGGTATCTTGTCGTGACTATGCGGTGACTTAAAGATGGGTTGTTGTTTTTTTTTTTATGGAAAACATCAGCTATGACGTCAGAAAGGTTAAAGGTGAAAGTTTAACCGTTGTGACTGTATATTTAAAGATAAAGGGCGGTTTGATATTTTTTTTTAAAACTGTGTGAACGGAACTCCACAATATGTTCAGTAAACATTCATAATAAAGTATATAATTTTCGCTTCATTATACCGAGATCTACTACCAAATCTTAATTACTTAATTACACCAATATCATATGAAATTAACGATTACATTTACTGTTTGCTTCTAACGCAAAACAATTTTTTTTTCTGAATATATAACTGTCTAGAGAAAGCTGTATATATTTCATGATGTCAACAAAGACTGTCCATATAAGTTGTCCGTATCTACAACTATATATATATATATATATATATATATATATATATATATATATATATATATATATATATATATATATATATTCACACTTGTTCAGAATTAAATATGTCCATATACACCTATCTTTATTTCAACATGTCTCAATAAAAATTACCAAAATTAATGGTGTCTATATAAAACTGTCCATATTTAACCTGTCTCTTTAAATCTGTCCATATTTAAAGTTGTCTATATAAAACTGTACATACATAAAGCTGTCTATAAACCACCCACCTTCTTGCCTTTTGAACCTACATCAACATTGATGTATCTGCCCTGCTCGTCAAAGAAAGCTTGGTTGTCCATCGTGGAATTCTGCAACAAACACAAGTCACATAATTTTTTATAATTGCTAAACAAGCGCCAGATAAAAACAAAAGCCACATGCTATCTAAAAGAGCTAAACAAGCGTCAGATAAAAATAAAAGCCACAGAGCTATCTAAAAGAGCTAAATAAACATCAGATCAAAATAAAAGCCACAGAGCTATCTAAAAGAGCTAAACAAACCTCAGATCAAAATAAAAGCCACAGAGCTATCTAAAAGAGCTAAACAAGCGTCAGATAAAAATAAAAGCCACAGAGCTATCTAAAAGAGCTAAACAAACGTCAGATAGAAATAAAAGCAACAGTGCTATCTAAAAGAGCTAAACAAACCTCAGATCAAAATAAAAGCCACAGAGTTATCTAAAAGAGCTTAATAAACCTCAAATAAAAATAAAAGACACAGAGCTATCTAAAAACGTTCAACAAACCTCAGATAAAATAAGTCTTACAATTAATTTTACAATGTTAAAGAACTTTCAAGTTAAATTAAAATCCCAAACTGAAGACTTATTTTTCTTCGCCATAGAAAAAAAATATGTTTTCGACCTGACTGAATGCAAACAGGATATGTAAAACAAATTGTAACCCTGCTCTCACGGATTATTTAGCTCCGTTACATGATCCTGTCATCTGACCAGGGTTAACAATACCCTCACTCTACCCCCCACACCCTCCCTCACACACCTCAAAGGATAGCCTCCCCCCACACCATCACACACCACAAGGGATAGCCTCTCCCCATCCTCACACACAAGGATAGCCTCCCCCCACCCTCACACACCACAAAGGATAGCCTCCCCCCACTCTCACATAAAGGATAGCCTCCCCCCCACCCTCACACACCACAAGGGATAGCCTCTCCCCATCCTCACACACCACAAGGGATAGTCCCCCCCACACCATCACACACCACAAGGGATAGCCTTCCCCCCACCCTCACACACACACAAGGATAGCCTCCTCCCACCCTCACACAAGGATAGCCTCCCCCACCCCCTCACACACAAGGCTAGCCTATCTCCCTTCGTTACGCGACAACCTGTTTGTCGGGTATTTAAATTAAAATATCATCAACAGCCGTTAGAAATGGCTGACATTATGAGATTATAAGAAATAAATACGACTCTAAACTAGGTAAATATTGAGGTGTATGTGAATAGACCACTCATGTACTTTATGGTCCACGGGTTCTTAAGTTTTGAACATATGATAGCATACTATGAGGAACGTCGATATCGTATTATATTAAGGTTTCTTTTTTAACAATTTGAAATCTTGAGTGTGCGCCCTCCTAAAAGGTGAAGTTTCTTCTATTCACTTTCTTATGTAATACTAGAGTACCCGTCGCGCGCGTTGCTGCTGTCTAGTCCAGGGGTCGGCTACCTGCGGCTCGCGAGCCGCATGCGGCTCTTTTGATATCAAAATGCGGCTCTCCAGCTCCTTGCACACATACTAATAATCTTAATCAAAAAATAAAATATTTGAAATAAAAAAAATGTTAGTGGCTCTTTAAAACCAGGGAAATTTTGAAAATTGTAACTTTTGGCTCTTCCGCTTCAAAAGGTTGCCGACCCCTGGTCTAGTCCTACGAGACATGGTGGTGAACATTTTATAAGTGTTTCATCAACACATCACCAATAGTGTATTTTTAGACGAGTTACTTTGCTTTCTCAAATAGTTGTTGAAATGTAAACAGTTTCAGTGCTATATTTTTTGGAATGTACTTGGTTTGGGCGCGGGTTTATTCACACATCCGCCCAGATTCCCACAAAACGTGCTGTATGAAAACTTGAGTGTACGTTATTCACTTTCCATAATAGTACGGCAGAGCACACGTCGACAACCGCCCGGGTGCTAGAGGCGTCGAGGTTCGCCCTCGGGTGCCACCACTACACTACCGAAGGGGCGCTGTGTGCGACTCCTGGTTAATAATAATAATTTTAAAATAAATACAAAATAAACAAAATAAAAAAAGTAAAATTTAAATCCTTGTAAATAAGGTAGAAAACTGTTGTATTTCAGTGTAAACGTTATAGTTTCAACATTTCAGCCTAAAGGCTGACATCAAGTGGTAATATGGTATTACATTATTTTTTTATTGTATACTTCCGGGTTATAAATTAAACTCTTTGTCGTTTTAATTTTAGTCTTCCAGGTAGCATTATGTAAAATAAACGAATTTTTTTTTTCGCTTTTATTGTCATTTTGATAGAGTATTGGTATCTACGTTAATATTAACATTTATCTTTAGGTGTCAATGAGGGAAACGGGGACAAGTGTTTCTTTAAGATTTTTTACTCAGTGGGGTTGGGGGTGGGTGTGGGGGTATGCACTTAAAACTTTCGGGGGGTGGGGCGAAATAAATTTTCCAGTGGGGCGGACACTAGTAAAAGTATATATGTCTATGTAAATTATACTCTGTTTAAGGGAGGGAGTGGGGGTAGGGGTGTGGCGGAAGGACCAGGAAGAAAATCGAATGGGACGTTGTGGTCGAAAGTAGAGCTTCCGACTGCTAACCCAGAACTCTCGAGTTCGGATCCCGGGCTTGAGACACTACATCACACTACATCACTGAGTCCACCTTGGTCTAGTGAGTACCTAGCTCACGTTAGGGTAAGTAAAGGCTGGTGGGCATGGTGCCGAACACAGTATCCCTTCATTAGCAGATGAACTCTGCTTCACCTGCCACATGGACCGTAACATTCGAAAGGGTACTTTACTCTTTTTTTTTTAATCGATGAGCAAAAATCGATCAAGCTAATGGGGCTCAGACAATAGTATTAAATTTTAGGCAATTAGCCACTCATATCATGATACCAGCGAGGTTATGTAATGGTACGCTTACACATGTTCAACCAACTGGCCTTTTTTAAATTACCGCACACCGTCACTACTGAGCTTAATACGATGTACCTAATCAATCGAATTATCTAAATAAATCAACACAATGGCTATAATGACCAAACAAAACCGACTACACCATCACTATCATGATCGCTTTGATTATATGTAATGACTACTTTCCATTAATAAAATGACCATTTTCCATAACTCTGACCATTCCCCATTAATAAAATGACCACTTCCTATTACTAAAATAGGGGACGGCGTGGTCTAACGGTAGAGAGCTAGCATGCTAACCCAATTTAATTGGAGTTCGAATCTGGGTTCAAGTCAGTAGAATCTCTCTCCACAATGGGTACGCAACTCAAGATTGTGAAAGTAAAGGTGACCACATTATCTCGTGATATGCTGAGATCTCTGAAACAGATGAACTCTACTTCACCTGCCCAAAGTGTCTTAGGCACGTACTGGAAAAAATGAAGATTAATATTATGTCTAATTTACAATCACTGAAAATGATCACTTATCAATACTAAATTGACCACGTTAAATTACTGTAACAATCACTTTCAGTTATTAAAATGAGCACTTTCCAATACTAAAATGATCAATTTCCATTATAAAAATCACCACTGTCTATTACTAAACATCACCACTTAACGTTATTACAATGTTTACATCCAATTATTAAACATGACCAATTTGCATTATGAAAATGACTATTCGACAACTTTTTATTACTAAAAAGACCACTTTTTATTACGAAAACAACCACTTTTTAATTACTAAAAAGACCTCTATGAATTATTAAAAAGACAACTTTGCATTACTAAACTGACCATTTTCCATAACTAAAACGACCACTTACAATCACTAAATAAACACAGTCATATCTAAAACTAATCATGTACCAGTATAGTGTAATCATTCCCACTTACCTACTAATTGTAACTCAATGTTTACCTTACTAATAATACTCTCCACGCCTCAGTAATGGTGTAACAATAATCTTTAATTCAGCTTTTATTTATAAGGCCCACTAGTGCTCTCTCCCGTTCAAAAAGACGGGATACACTACCATAATATTGTTTTACCCCAATTGCCGCTTGCACGAAAAGGCTAACTTAAAAATGCATGGACAACAATGTCATGCTTATTATTTTTTTTTCATTTAAAAGACACTGTGCTGTTTTTTAAACTACCTCCACCCCTTCCCCCCCCCCACCCCCTTCCCGCCCCCCCCCCCCCCCCTCAACTCTTGTGTCACCTATATGGCGCAAGGTATCGCAGCTTACCTGGTAAAACCAGCATGTAGACAGTCTAAGGAAAGACGAAGCGAGTTGGCGTTTTGTTTGTGTTAAAGTGCGCTGTTGTAAGCTTGCATTGAGCGCTTAGGCTGGGAGGTTATAAATTAATTTCAGGGACGTTAGGGGTGGGGGGTGAGGGGAGGGGGCGGAGGGTATATTTTTAAGGGCTGTCCAACTTGATTGTTTTACATTACAAGACCTCTGTGATGAGTTTTTTAGTTGATGTGTATGTTAAGGCTAAGACTTTAAGACAGTGTTCATTCTGTTAGAATGCGTTTTCTTTAAAAAAAAATTCAAAATAAAACGAGTAAAGCCTACAGCATAACAAGATTTTTAAAGGCACAAACATAAATGTCTTTGTTTACTACAAGCGTTAGTAGCTTCTGTTTTAAAATGCTGATAGCATACAAAAATTTTACGCAAATTTGAACTGAATCGTGACATTAGCCATTTGGATAAAAATTGAGTTTTAAAAAATGTACATATGTGTGAGTGTGTGTTGTGCGTGCGTACGTGTGCGTACGTGTATATGCGTGCGTGTGTACGAACGTGGGTGCGTACGTGTATGTGAGCACGTACGAGTAGGTGCGTGTGTGAGTGCGTGTTTATGTGTGTTTGTGTGTGTGTGTGAATGTGTGTATGTGAGAGAGAGAGAGAGAGAGAGAGAGAGAGAGAGAGAGAGAGAGAGAGAATGTAAGTGTTAAATGAAAAACATTAAGTAAACAAACACTAGTGGAAAAACGCAAGTATTCCAAAACAGGAAATAAATGTCAACTGAAGACGGTTTAGCAAAAGAATTTATACACGCTAGAGTTTGCATTAAGTGACTCTCTCAGAAT